AATAGAATAGAATAGAATGAAAATAGAATAGAATAGAATAGAATAGAATAGAATAGAATAGAATCAATTAGAGCATAATAGAACAAAATTAGGATAGAATTAGAATAGAATAGAATAGAATAGAATAGAATAGAATAGAATAGAATAGAAACAATTAAGAGTGTAATAGAACAAAATTAGGATAGAATTAGAATAGAATTAGAATAAAAAAGGAATGGAAGTAATGGCAGGTTCAGTTGCAGGAAGGACAGGATTCTTCCTGGCAGTGTGACTGGAACCTCAGCGTTTATCACAGAAATTCAAATGACTCACCTTGGGTTGGCTCCCAGAGATTTTCAAAGGAAACAGGAAGGGGACAACACAAACTTCTCTGAGTCACTCCCCTTCCCAAAGCTCTGGCTTCTCTGGCACTGTCAGACCCTCAGATCTGCTCTGTTTCTCCAAACAGGAGGAGTTTTACAAGTAGTTGTAGGTTTTGCCAATAAAACTTGCTTTATTAAAGAGAAGCAAAGCATTTTATTCCTGATGAAATGGAATATACACGATTCCCTCCAAAAAAGCTTTATTTGCAGGGGCAGCAGCACATAACCATCACTCTGGGTAGGATTTCCAGCTCCAGGGTTACTTGGGCTCCACTGGGATCACTAATTCTGCCTGAAGTCCTCGGGATTTGCTTGTGGAAACCTCTGGAGAATTACATGCCCTGAGTTATTTTTATCTAAATGCCTTTTTATTTTCTTTATTTTCAAGCATTCTCCAGTGTGATTTGAATGAAGTACCCTAAAGTAAAGGCCCTCTCCAGTGTTCCCGTCCACAGGCCTGGACAAGATGCCAAAGCAGGTAAAAAGAAAAGCAGGAATTGTGTGTGCTAATTAAATGTTACTGCCAGGAGAGAATTCTTGGCTTATTTCCATGCAGTCAAGATTAGGTAACTACTAAAGAATATTCATGAATTGACTGGACCTATTTACTGTGGGTTTGAGCTGTGTTAGAGACACCAGGCAGTGATTTTTGTTGTGCCCCGGGCTCTAACAGGGCAGGTGTTCATGCAGGCAGCAAACACATCTTGGGGGTGTTTGCTCAGGAAGATAAATGGACACGAGAGTTGGGATTTCTTGTCAAACATTCTTCTACTTTTGGCTGAGCAATCGTCCCAGCTGAAGTGATGCTGAGCAGGGCAGCAGAACCAGGCCCTTCCTCAGGCCTTGCAGTCTCACAGTGGGTTTGACTTGCCTGGTGGAGCACAGGGAGAAAGGGGAATGGGCAGGAACTCCTCAGGTCCACGCAGTGTTTGCTAATTGTGGTGTCTGTCCTGGGACAGCAGCAAGCTGCTTAATGCTCATGCAGAGGAGAATAACAGAAATCACTTGGATGGCAGTGCTTTACTGCATTGCTAAGCTTTTTTTTTTTTTTCCCTTACTGTGTAAAATTCTGTATCACTGGAAAGGAAGGATTTATGCTGTCTGCAAAAGATAAAAATGCTCCTAAATGAGTACACTATTATAGCTTTTTTTTTTCCTTTTCAGGAACATGCTGAGTGGGGTTTGCAGTGCATTTCCCCTAAATTAATGGGCTCATCTCACATAGTGGGAATGCTGCTAACTAAATTTAGCATTTTCTGTACAAACAAGGTGTAGCTGTTCATTGGTTGGTACAGGTGAGCAGGAATAGCTTGGAGAACTTTCTGTCAAAGAGAAGGAGATCAGAAGAGGAGTGTACAGAGTGCAGAAATCAGGACTGGCATCTTTTCCATTCTTCATTTTCTCTTCTAGCCTCTCTCCAGTAATGGCAAACAGGTCCTGGAATATCTCTTCTGCCTGGTTTTCCATACGACAAGTGTGTCCTTCCAAAGAATGTTGTCAAGGACATGGGAGCCCAGAGGCTGAGATTTGAATATTTTAAGTGATTCACAGGGGACAAAACTTCAGCTAAGGCAGGGCAGCTCTTCCCCCAGCACCATTCCTGTGCCCTGGCTGTGATGTGTGCACTCTGCAGCTTTCACCCTGAAAATGAGAGTCTCTGCTGGGAAAGCTGCATTTGTTTTGGCCTGCAGGGGCTTCCAGCTGTACCTGCAGCCAGCCCTTCCTGCTTCCCTGAGCCCAGGGCACTGCTTGGATTGAGTGCACGACAGGCAGAGGCTTAGAAATGAGCCAGTTGCACGAGCATGGGGGGTGTGTGTGTGCAGAGCTGCAGTGTGAGCCCAAGGCCACCTTCTCTGAGTGCCTTTGCTCACAGCCAGAACCCTTTTCCTGCATCAGAGCAGGAGGAGGCAGCTGGGAGGAGGAGTAGCTGTGACATTCTGAGGTCTGGCTCCTGCTGAGACTGAAATTTGGTGACATGGAAGCAGCAGAAGAGCTAGAGCAGGGGAGGAGGTGAAAGTCCAGCTCTTCACCTTTCACTGGTGCTGATCTGACATCCCCTCCAGGAAAATGGCCAAAGGGAAGATTCTCTCATCCAGAATGACCTCAGTGAATCATTTGAAGAAGAAGTTAGAGCCTTCCTCGGTGATGAAGAGAAACTGCATCTTTTCGACGACCTCACCAAAGTGAATCCAGTGACAACCAGGACAGGTGAGCAGCCAGGGACAGTCTGCTGAGGGATCCCTTACCTTGCTGGCCACTGACACATGGCCACTGCATTCCTGCTCTCACTGCATTAACACCGTGGACACAGGAGTTCTGTATATTATATTAATTACATGTACAATTATGTATATTACACCTACATCAGTCTCTTGATCACCTCGTTCTCTATTAAACCTGATGGGAACACACCTGAGACTCTTGTTACCAACAGGCACAGCAAGGGTCAAACACACTTAGCAAAAGATGCTGACAGAAGGTGTTGCTTTTCAGTTCTGAAATGTCTGCAAGCAAGATACAGAGTCAACCTGTTCTATACAAACGCTGGCTGCAGCCTGGTGGCTTTAAATCCTTTCCAGCCTTTCTCCTGCCTCTACTCACCTGAGCTCATGAGGGAGTACCACGCTGCACTTTGTCCTCAGGTAACCCTTGTGCTTGAGATCTCTGTCCTTCTGTAGAGCCCAGGTGTCCAACTGCTTGCTCTAAACTCATCTGAGCAAAATACTCCCACAGGAGAAACCCCATTTCTAGTGAAATATTAGTTCTGTTCAAAGAGCAGTGCTGTTTTCAGGTGAATGTGAGATGACCTTGGTATCCATTGCTGTTGAACTGTGTGGTTACTGTACTCTTAAATATAAATATTCTCTTTCACTGCCAGGATTTAAAACCTCACATCTTTGCAGTGGCTGAGCAAACCTACAGGAATGTCCAAAAGCAGATGGACCCTGTGAACCAGTCCATCATTGTGAGTGGAGAAAGTGGTGCTGGGAAGGTAAGGAAATGTTTTTCTGTGACATTGCTCTCAAGTTTCGAACTCTGCCAGTGATTTGTAGTGCAGAGTAGTGCAGTGAATGAGCAAAGATGAATTAAAAGCCCCTCTGACACAGCACGTAGCCAATCTGCCCAGCACGACTCTCTTGAAATGTGTGTGAAGCATTAAGTGATTGCTGCAGTTAAACACACTCTGCTTTATATAGCAGCTCTTCAGGTGACATCTGTCATTTCTGGAGGGCTGGGTTTGAATCATTCAGCAGCAGTTCACTGAGTTAATGCCTCAGCCTGGTCTGTCAGGGAGCTCTGTGAGTCTCAGCAAACCCTCTGTAAAGACTTGGAGCAGTGGATTCAGCTCCTGCCCTGGCCCTCCTGTGATGGCCCATCCCTGCTCAGGACCATGCTGAGGAGGGCATTTTAAAGCCCAAGAACAAGGTGATTCAAATGCTGAATGTTAATGCCTCCAAATCCATTCTCATTCATTCCATCCCAAGGCAATAGCTGTTAATTCTGGCTGAGCTTCCAGCTGGTGACACCTCGATGGAAGTGCCATTCAGCAGAGCACTGAAATGTGTGTCTGTGGCACGGAGTTCCCACTGAAGCAGAGCTCTGAACCTGACACAGTTCCTCTCTTTAGCCTCCCCTCCACCTGCACACTGTGTGACATCACTGATAACATGTTAGAAACAAAGAGCTACTGTCAGATCTCTGTCTTGCAGACCTGGACCTCTCGCTGCCTCATGAAGTTCTATGCCTCTGTTGCTGCCTCAGCTATCTCCCCAAAAGGCAATGAAACTGTGGAAAGGATAGAGAAGAGAGTGCTGGATTCCAACCCTGTCATGGAAGCTTTTGGTAAATGTGGCTTTTTTAGCAACAAAGTAAAGGAATGGCCACTGTGGCAATTTCCTTTGTTCCCACACAAGTCTAAGCTTTCTCTTGGTCCTCTCCTTAAAAAAAACTCTTCAAATACTGGAGCTATTTACAGAGTACCCTAAATACCTGTATGTGCTGCATGGCAGAGTGGCACCACTCTGACTGTTCTGTGTCTGCCACTGGCAATTTCACAGGGAATGCCTGCACCCTGCGGAATAACAACAGCAGCAGGTTTGGGAAATACATCCAGCTCCAGCTGGACAGGTAAGAATTACTGTGTAAAACCTTACCTGTTGTCTTGTTCCTTTAAATCTTTATTATCCCGTTCCTTTAAAGCTTATATTCTGAAGTCTGTTATAGAATATTTTATGTCTTTAGAGCATATTTTGGTTTGCTGGCAGCTTAAACTGTTATTATTTTCCTTTTTCTTCTTCTGCAAGCTCTTACCATGATCTTTAAGAGACAGCAAAGGAAAAACAGAGATGTAGTTAAGAACTCTGAATAAAATATGAATAAAACTGAAGGTGAACTGCAAAACATTCACAGTCAGTTGGTCTCAGAACAACATAACCCCTCTTGGATTCTGTGAAGAGGTTTTGTTGAAATCTTTCCTCTTTTTCCCTCTCCAGATTCCATCATCTGACTGGTGCTTCCATCCAGACTTTCCTTCTGGAGAAAACAAGAGTTGCCTATCAGGCCCCCAATGAAAGAAACTTCCATATTTTTTATCAGGTTTGCCTTCAGTTGATTTTGCTGAGCATTTCTGCCACACAGCGGGGATGGAATCACCAGATTTAGCACAGTTGCAACTTTTAATAATTACCAGTTTCCCTGTCTGCCAGGCTTCCAAATTAAATCATCCTCCCAGTATGTTATTCTTCACTGTCTGGGAGCTGTGTAAACACCAAAGGCAGAATTCAATTTTTACCTTGTTTTCTGTCTCAGATCACAAAAGGTGCTACTGCAGAGGAGAGGCTGGAGTGGAACCTTCCAGAAGGGGCTGAGTACCGCTGGCTGCCAAACTCTGAAAGAAACTTAGATGGTAAAGATTAGCTTCACTAACTAATTAATCAATCCATTAATGATGGCTGGAGCTTTAAAGGGAGGCAGGCAGAAATACATCCTGTTCCATCCCCTGGCCAGCCAACAGCAGATGTTTTGCAAAGCCACCTGCATTAATGGGATTCTTTTTAAGTTTCACTTGGCACTAGTAAGTCTTAAAGCTTAAAATCAGTCACCTGGCTTAAAACAGCTGGTTCTGGCCTGGCAAATTTGCATCTTTGTGGCTTTGTTTAGAAATTGTCTTTGTTTTTGCATGTGCTCCACCTGACAGAAAAAAACCAGTGGGTTGGGATTTCCCCAGGCAGCATCCCCGTTCTTCCCCGCTCTCCTCTGACCATCCCAGCTGGATTGGATGTGCTGAGATGTTCTGCTTGCCCCTGTTTGTGTGCTTGGCTTTTCCAAGAGCACTGTTTGGCTTTTCAGAGGACTGCTTCGAGGTGACCAGAGGGGCAATGTTCCACCTGGGCATCGGCCCTGCCACGCAGAGCAACATTTTCAAGGTCAGCCACACCGCAGGGACAGCACGAGGCTGCTGAGGATGTTGGGAATGAGCTCCCGGGGTGGGATTGCTGCTGGGATCAATCCCTGTCACCGTGCAGAGCTGCTGCTCCTCTCTGGAGGGCTCACAGCTGAAGGGTAGATCTGAGCCCAAAGCCTGCACCTCTGATTTTCAGTTTGCCTTCAGGAGCTGCAGCACTGGGGAAGCTCAGAAGTTTGGGATCTGTTGGCTGCCTTTTGTGCAGGAATGTGCAGGAGCTGGCCTGTTCCAGGCTGCAGGAAGGCTCAGGGGAGCTGCCTTGGGGGAAGCTGTCCTGAAAAACTCCCTGGTTGCATTCCAGGTGTTATCAGGCCTTCTGCACCTTGGGAACGTTCAATTCTCTAATCCAGGGGATGAATCTCAGCCTTGTGAACTGGAAGACAAAACCAAAGGTGAGGCAACACAACCATGCCATGCTCCAGAGCCTTGTTAGTTCAGCGCAGATGGCCAAGGGAAAGGATTAGAGAAAGGAAAGAATGGAGAGAATTCTTTCCTTTATTTAATTAGTTAATTTAGATTTACTTATATTTATTTCGTTATTAACATTTCTTAAAATTTATTACATCTACCAAATTTTCACTTGAGTAATTTTAACTATTTTTACTTTTCATTATTAATTCCTTTTAACTACTAATAAGACTAATTACTTTATTAATAATAATTTTGAAAATTAATAAATGTGTTTAAATGGTATTGAATTTATTGCATTTTAAATTATTAAATTGAATTTGTTTAATTTAAATTAATGTAATTTCTTCATTTAATTCAGAAATAATTCCTTATTAAAGAAAATAATTTGAACAATATCTCTCCTGATAAGGGAGATGATCAAGGCCGTGAGCAACCCAAAATTTAGGTGCGTTTTTGTGAGCAAACAAAAACCTAATGCTCCCCTGCCCTGAGAGATAATATCCTTCCTGACAGGTCAGGGCAACTGCAGCATTGCCCAGTGATTTCAGGAGGATTATTGGCAGAACTGTGGCTCTTGTTTGTAATCTTACTCTGCCATCACAGGCCTGGCAGAAATCTGACCCAGAGGGAGAGCAGGGCTTTTCACATGAAAGCTTGGAAGTTTTTGTGATAAAGACCAAAAGGCAGTGACAACAAATCTGTTAAATTGCAGCAGAAATAGAGGTTGTTCCGCTTTTAGGAGGCTTGTGGATCTGGATTTCCTTCAGAACTAAAACTGCCCTGAATAGTGAAGGTTCCTGCTAAAATTTCAACTCAAATTACTTAATATCCAAATAATTTTGACTACAGCTCAGCTGAGAAAGGTCTTAAATGCTTTGTCAGAAAATACTCATTCTTCACTTCCTTTCTATCCCCAAATCCCTGCTTTTTTCCTGGTCCATGACTGTTTGATTTGTCTGTCTGCATTTTGAGGTCCCTACTCAAAAAAGGTGAAAAAGTAACAAAGACACGCCTAGAGAGAAAAACAGCTTTGGTGTGGCCAACTTCAGCTTTTTCTGGTATTCCTTCATTTTAAAGAGAGGACCCAGAATTCTAGGGGCACTCTGCGTCCAAATTAAGAGTCTGGTTTTGGAAAACTCATTCCTAAGTTTGGATAGAAAGATCCAAAATCCACATTTAAGTTGGGGAGCTGATGGAAGTGGCATTTTCCTGCACCATCTCTAGACCTTCCTTACCTCCAGAGGTACAAACACACCAGGTAACCTTCCACTGTTTGTTCTCCTGAACAAGAGTTTGTGAAGAGCACGGGGGATCTGCTCCAGATTCCCACTGAGGAGCTCCTGGAATCTTTAAGGATCCGAACAATCACTGCTGGAAAACAGCAGCAAGTGTTCAAGAAGCCGTGCTCCAGAGCTGAGTGTGAGACCAGGAGGGACTGCCTGGCCAAAGTCATCTATGCCAGGTAAGGATGGGCTAATCCAGGTGACTTTTGGGAGGGAATGGGGAGGCCAGAGGGATTTACGTGCTGCTGTTCCATGGCAGCACATCAGAAATTCCTCTTCCTTCCAAGTGACACTGATGGAAGCAGCAGGAAAAGAAGCAATTCTGATTATTGCAAGCTAGCAGCTTCCAGCTAATCCCATTGTTGCTGTCTGCAGGTTGTTTGAGTGGCTGGTTTTGGTCATCAATGAAAACATCTACACTGATCCCTCAGTGTGGACCAGCTTCATAGGTATGGATATCCCACCCTGGTTTAACTCAGGGGCCACAGCCCTCCAAGCTGCTCCTAAACTAAATCTCCTTGTCCTCCCACATTCTTCCAGGTTTGCTGGATGTTTATGGGTTTGAAGCCTTCCCTGAAAACAACTTGGAGCAGCTCTGCATTAATTATGCCAATGAGAAACTGCAGCAGCACTTTGTAGCTCACTACCTGAAGGCACAGCAGGTAATACCCCAAACTGAGGATCAAATCTTCCATATCTGATTTAAACCAGCATCTTTTTGTCACTTTAATTGCATTGCTGTGCCCATGGTCAGGTGGAAGCTTCAGTCAGCAATGCCACAGAAAGCAGTGGGAAGGAGCAGTGGCTTTGTAAAGAGGGGAGTGTGGGGCAGTTGGAATGACACAGCTTTGTCCCCTGGGGACTGGAAATCTGTTCCCAGCCCCACTGGATCTCTGCCTGTCAGACTGTTTGCTTTTCCTCAAAGAGCTGAACACTTGAGACTAAATTCTTGGGGTAAGTGCAGCCTGAATTGAGATTCTCTTGGAAGTTTCTGCTTTCAGCCATGAAGCATAAAGCCCCTAAAGAGTGGATCTTCTAGGCTGAGCTTGGTGTGAGGGCAGAGCCCACCAGAACCCTGTCACCCACACCTGAGCACGTGGGACCTGTGGAGGCCTCCAGCCACAGGGGCACAGCTCCCTGCACCCAGCCACGCTGGTGCCTTTAAAAAAGCCCCAGCGTGCTCCAGCTTTTATCTTGAGTGAGGAGAGACATAGATGCTGTTGTTTCACAGCAGAAAAGGTTTTTTTGCCCTGTGCAGTCCCTCACTGGTCACACACTGCTAATTCCAGCTCTCATCTGAGTGCCCTGCAAGGTGCAGAGTCCCTGCCAGGGCTGCTGCTCTGCCCCTCCCCACTGCAGATCCATTACCAAAATGCTCTTTGCCATTAACTGGAATCAGGGAAATTCTTTTCTTTATGGCAGCAGTGTGCTGGCACCTCCTGCCTCACAGCAGGGCTCTGTCAATTTATTCAGGAGTCAAGGATTTCTTTGACTGCTGTTTGTGCTTTGCCATTGCCAGGCTGCTTTCCCTGCCTGCCCTGGTCAGCATGCCAGGGGTTAATGGTCAGAGAAGATGGAAAATAAGTTCAAGCACACAATTGCTTTGCTTGAAACAGCTCCATGACCTCTGTTTATAGCACCCCTCCCACTCACTGCCTGCCCTCTTACCTCTGGATCTGGCTGTCCCCCAAACCACTTAAATGCCATTAGTGGCTGTGCTGAGCAAGCTTTTGGCAGGAGGCTTTTCAAATAACTGCCCAGAGCTTGTGCTTGTTAAACACTGCTGACAGTTTGTCCTGTAATTCAGCATAAATATTGTACCAATTATTCCAGCCAGTATCTCCCTGTACTTCCTTGCAGATCAGGCTTTGCTTTAAATGGAGCTCAGTCAGTAAAGCCTGGCACACAAAGGTTGGGCTGGGGCAGTGTCCCAGTCCAGGGAAGGAGTTCTGCTTGTTCCTTGTCCTTCAGGGAAAATCTCAGCACAGCCAGGAGAGGCTTTGTGTGACTGTGGCCTTTGTTTGCTCTCTAAAGCAGCCTTGCAGCACACTCTGATAAATCCATGGGGTTCCCAAATCCTCTGATAAATTGCTCCAGTGGGTTCTGATCCACACCCAGAAGCTACCTGGGCTACAATACCTTCACATGGGTTGTTTTTTTTTTCTCAAGCTTGGTGTTGATCTGGGATTAACTCCTCAAACAGGACCTGGATCAGCTGCCCAAGGCTCAGAGTCCTGAGCTCTGGTGCCCTCTGCTGCAGAATAACCCCTTCCCTCTTCCTTCAGGAAGAATATGCAGCTGAAGGCCTGCAGTGGTCATTCATAAACTACCAGGATAACCAGAACTGCCTTGATCTGATAGAGGGAAATCCTCTCAGCATTTTTTCCTTGCTGAATGAGGTAAGCGTGATCATTTCTTGCGCCCAGTTTCCTGCCTTTGTCCCACACCACCACAGAAAACACAAACAGTAAATTCATAGAAAACCTGCCAGCTATAAAATTTCTGCAGGGCTTCAGCTTCACAAAATCATGCCACTGCTTCTTTCTGCTCCAAGTTGTCTTTTTCCCTCTGATCCTGGATGTTCTGATTCAAACATGAACCCTCAATTACTTCTTTCCCCCCTTTCCTTCCCAATATTTCAGGCCTTGCATACTCAAAGCATCTCTAAAGGTAAAATTGCTATGATTTGAATTTTAAACGTTGTAGCTTTTAGAGTCATTTCTCTGGGACAAAGAAGAGATGCTGCAGTTGTGTGTCCTTTGCAGGAGTGTCGTCTGAACAGAGCCTCCAACACTGACCTGTTCCAGACCAGGATTGAGAAAGCCTTGTCCAGTAATCAGTGTTTAAGTCGAGATAAGTTTAGTAAGAAGCCCAACTTTATCATTTCACATTATGCTGGCAAAGTCTGCTACCAGCTGGCAGCAATGGTGGAGAAAAATAAGGTAGGTGTTTGCAGAAAGAGCTGTTTAAAAAAACCTTAAAAGCATCTTACAGACCTGAAGTGATTTAAGTCAAGTAGATATATTCAGTGCTGGGTACTGGACATAACTTGCTTCAGCCCTTGTAAACCTGGGTGATGCCCTTGGTGTGATTCTCTGAATCACCACTGGCACGAGCGGATGCTTTCTTACACCTTGAACCATCACCAAATTAGGGCTTCTTCCACTCCTGGGGGATGCAGAATTGTTAATGGCATCAGGGCATTTTTATAACTACAAATACAGCACTTAATTCCCAAAAAAATTCAGATAAATTTATGAGCAACAAGAGCGTAGGCTTAACTGCTGAAAGTGCTCAAAGTACTCAAATTTTGGCCATCAGGGAATGACTGATATGTGAAATAGCTTGCAGAGAGCAGGGTCCCTTCTCAGCTCTGACATCCCCAGCAATAAAACACCATGTCTTAATTCAAATGAATATTTCTAATGTCTGCTGCAGTCTGTCCTTCAGGGATTAAACCACCCCTGCAAGTTGGAGCTCACTTAGGCTGTGTAACAACAGCAGTGATGGGAGCAGTTGTACATTTGACTGGATTTACTGAATGTTCAACCAAACATTGTTTTCTGTCCCTAAATCTGACTATGAATGAATGCACATCATCAGATTTGAAACTGCAGCTGTGGTCACATCAAATTTCCATCAGAAATACTGTTCTACCTCTGTATGTGGAATACTTAGTTATTTTCAGAGGTGCAGGTGCCTGCCAGGTCCAGGTACTGACAGGTCATGTCTGTTTGCAGGATGCTGTTCCACCAGAGCTGGTCCACGTTTTGCAGAAGTCAAAGGACCCTTTGCTTCAAAAATTATTTCCTGTGACAGAAAAGAACCAAAATAACACCAAAACCCAGAACAGAGCAGCTGTGGTTACAGTGGTGTCCAAGTTCAAGGTACATCCTATTCAGCTTTCTGCTGTAATTTTGGGAACTTCCTGGATTTACCATCAACGATTTGATGAAATGCATCCACAGAGTGGATTTTTTGCTCAGGGGAAGTGCTCTAACACTGAGTCTGTAGAGCCATCCTTGCCAAGAGCAGCTTCCTGGGGTGGATGGAGATCCCTGAGGAGGAGGAGGAGCCCTGCTGAGCCCTGTGTTTGTTCCTGCAGAGCTCCCTGGAGCATCTGATGGAGATTTTGAGCAGAACCACACCCCACTACATCCGCTGCATCAAGCCCAACGCTGACTGCAAGGCCATGACTTTCAGGAGAGAAGAGGTAACTCTTCCAAAGCCTCTCCCCAGGGCTTTGCATTGGCTTTCTCAGCATCTTGAGTCACTCACAAAGCTCTTTCCACAGCACATTTTGGAGCAGCTCTTCCTCCTGTGAGATAGGCACCCTTTCAGAGTCCCTGAGGTGCTTGTCCAAAACGGCAGCTCCTCCAGCTGCACCTTGCTCATTGCTGGGGGGATTTGGGCTGCTGCCCTCCCAGCCCTTCAGACAGGTGGAGGTGATCTGAGCAGCCCTGGGCACACAAACACCTTCAAAACAGAACTCTGCTCGCTCCTGCAGTCCAGGAAGCTGAGAAGTTTTGGGAGCAGAGCAGCAGATGCTCAAGCTGTAACTAGAGAACCTCATCTGGTGGGCAACCAGGCTTTAAACACCCATGGAATCTGCTGAGAGTGCAAATACCAGCACTGAGCCTGGAAATGCCAACACTGGCTTTTCACACCCTGCTGGCTTTGGATGCCCAGGACAGGGCACACAAGGAGCAGCTTCCACAAAAATCAGCTAAATAAATAAATTTAAGCAATAAATTGCCTAAACCAAACTCAATTTGTGCCTCAGGTTCTCAGCCAGCTCCAGGCCTGTGGAATAGTGGAAGCCATCAGCATCAGTGCAGCAGGTTTCCCAGTCAGGTAAGTCCAGCTTCTTCAGCATAATCCATTTCTATAGCAATTAGTGGCATTTAGTTATTCAGAAGAGCATATAAGCAGGGAGCCCAAGTATTTTGCACCATCAGCATATCCAAGCACAATTCCTGCCCTGGCTTTGCTACTGGTGCTGGGAAATCTGAATTTCTTCACAAGTCCTGTACTTTCTGGCCTGTTTGACCATTTAGGCATCAGTCTGTTTGCATCCCCTGCACTGGATCCACAAAGCCATTCTGGAATTTTTCCCCTTCAGGGGATGAGTTATTTACCATACAGCAAAAGGATCAGTTTTTTACAGTAATGGTTCTTGCCTGGAATTCACTGCACATTTGTCTCCCAGGATCCCTTTCCAAAGTTTCACTGAGCGTTACAAGCTACTGAGAAAATCCTGGGGCTCCAGTAAAAAAAGAGTGTGGAGTAAAAGCAGCTCTCATCCTGCTGAGAAAAAAGGTAAGTTTCTTCAGGTAATCCCCGTGCCATCAAGTAAAATTGTCACTGCACCCATTTGGTATCACACAGATCAGGCAATTACTGTATTCACCACTATTCTCAAAATACTTCTTTAACCTATCACCAACCTGTGTTTCTAATTTGCTTAACACTTGAAATCTTACCCCTCACTGCTGGTTTTCTGTGTTCCTTCTGGGTGGAACAATCACTGCAGTGGTGTCTGGGGTTCCCCTTGCCCAATATAATTTGATTTAGAGTTGATTCTTTACTAGACTTGAAAACCACTTACTTTTTGCTTTATCTTCCTTCTCCTTCCTTTCTTTTCCTCTCCCCTTGTTTCCTTGCTGAATCACTGACCTTCCAGCTTACCTGGACTCTGCTGCTTCTTCCACCTTTTGCAAACTTCTCTTTCTCTAAGCAAGAGTGAGGATGGACTTTAACAAACACAATGCAGCCCACAGGTAAAGCCTTTGCAATGAACTCCTGAAAGGAGGAGCTCATCAGGTGGTTACATTTAATTCTGAAGGTTGCTGCAGCCCCTTTCTGTGCCCCAGATGAATCCCCTCATCACCCAGTGGGTCAGTTCAATAAACAGCAGCTGTGGGAAGCAGGACCAGCCTGTTCAGATAAATAAAATTGGTGGAAATCTCTTCACCCTGTGGAAATGGGGTGAAGTAAGGAAGTGCAGGCTGGAAAATTACTTACACACTGAATCTTTCCCCCTCAATTGCAAACCCATTAACTGCAAAGCCTCTTTGTGATGGCTTTTTAGTTCTTTTTATCTTGAGGGGGTAATAAGCTGCAAACAAAGCAAAACAATTGCCCAAACAAGAGGATAAGCTTTGGTTCCCTTATCAGCCCAGCCCCATGGACGCCATCAGAGCCACCAGATGTCTTCCTGTAAGCAAGAATTGCTTCTATTTGTTTTCAGGACCTTAAAATGCTCTCATCTCCTTAGAAATATTTATAGCAGAAAAGCAAACAGTATCCAGGATGGAATGATGCATCCAGCCCTGTACATGCAGGAACTCTTTCAACAATCTCTTGTTCCAGGTCTGAATTAAGTCTGTCTCTATTTCCAAAGAGATTCATCTGGCTGACCTGTTTGTAAGAAATTGTGCACTGTGTCCCAGAAATGGCTTTAATAACCTGTAATTGCTGCCATAAGTTCCTGCTCAGTACAGGACCCCATAGCTGCTCCCAGTGCCCTGTGACAGCTGTACAATTGTGTAGAATTTGTCTTCCCTTCCTGTACTTTTCAGCACATTAAGGCTACAATTCCCTGCCTTTTGTTCTTTGCTCCCACAGCTTTGAGTTTTGAGTATTTAATGTGATTTTCTTATCTGCTCAGTCTATTCCTAATGGCATTGCTGCTGCTTTCTCGTGCATCCGTGTGGGATGGGAGAACACCTGAGCCCTCCCTGTTTTGGTCTAGATCCATCCCAAGTGACAATTTTACCTGTGGAGAACAGAGGTGATAAGAGATGAGAAGGCAGCCCCCAGCCACAGCCCAGTTCCAACAGCCCCACTGCTTTTCTGCTTGCTGGCACCTGGTGGGATCTGAGATGAAGCTCTCAGCCATCTCCTCCTCCCCTCTTGCTGTTTCCCCTCTAAATGGCCAAGAGATCTCAGTGCAAAGACAATGCCCTGGCCCCCATTTGCAAATGTTGTGGTGCCTTCTCCTCAGTGTTTCATTCCAGGTGATGACAAAGCACCACGTGCTGCTGTGCTGGAGATCCTTCAGGATGCTGTCAGGGGACAAACCCCTGCTCAGGGAGCAGGGAATGGAGCAGGAGCCCCCTCAGTCTACTGTGGCAAAACCAAAGTGTTCCTGGCCACTTCCCTGGTAAGTGCTGTTCCTTGGCTGATGCCTCTGGAGTGCTCCTGCCTCGGGGACATTCTGGCACAGAGGCAAAACTCCTGCCAAGCCAGAGTGAGCAGAACTGGGCATTTTCCATCCAATTATCAAACTCAATCAAGCACCCCTCAGAATCCAGCTCTGCAAAGCACTTTGTGTAATGGCCTCTGTGTTGGACAAGGAGCTGCACTTGTGTCAGAATTCCAGTAAAGGTGGCAGCTTTCCTGAGCTCCACGTGAGCTCCAGCAGGCCTTGGGAAAGAGAGGAAGGAGTCACAGGCACTTCTGCCAAGCTTGCAGGATGCAGCCCCTTCTGTGGAGCTGGGTATGAACCTGCTGCTGCTGGGACTTTGGGAGGCTGCCCTTTCCTCCCCAAGAATTTCCACTTTCATTTCCATTTTCATTTCCCTGTTAGCTGAAAGGCACTAATGAAGTGCTGTCGCTTCTCAAACCTAATCCAGCAGTCATAGGACACTGGAATGAGGCTGAGGTGCCCTGGCAAACACCAAGGGGCTGTAAAAGAGGGAAGAGTTGTGAGCACAAGTCCATCCCTAACTCCAGGCTCCTGTTCCCCACTGCAGCTGGAGCTCCTGGAAGCCAGGAGAGCAGAGGTGTTAAATGAGAAGGCATTTTGCATCCAGTGCTGCTGGAGAAGATTTAAAGAGAAGAAAACAGCAAAGGAGAAACGCTCTGCAACTCTCATCCAAGCAGGTGACTTGTGGGGTGGGGATGACATAACAGAGCAAGGGACATTGCCAGTTACTCTGGGGGACTCCAGTGGCACGAGTGGCTGAGTGCCATCTCTCCCAGCGTGTGCAAGAGCTGCTGAGATCCTCTGCACTCAGGTTTCTCTTGTTCAACCCTCAGCTGTTCGCTCCTGGCTGGCCAAGAGTCGCTTCCAGAGGCTGCGCAGGGCTGCCCGTGCCATCCAGCGGGGCTGGAGGAGGTGGAAGGTGAGTGTGGGGACAGGACAGCACTGAAAAGGAGCATGAGGCCTCTCAGGGCAATAACTGAGAACTATAAACCCAGTGCTCCAGAAAACTCTTCTCCAGCTGAAGGGCAGAAAACTCTTCTCCAGCTGAAGGGCAGATGCCAGTCCTGTACAGCTGCTCTGGCTCATCCTGCAGAACAAACTCATTCCCTACCTGCAGGGAAATTGGGGTGTGCTGCCCTTCCAGCCTCCCTCTCTGACAGGCTCAGTTTTGCAGTCCAGCTTGTGCCCAGGACGTTCTCAATGTTGTCCTTGTGTCTTTTGCAGGCAGAAGCGGCGGCGCTGGCAGCAGCGGAGCTGGACGAGGGGGAAGGAGAGGAGTTCCCAGCCCCTGGAGCTGCCCTGGCCGAAGCTGCCAGAGCCCTGGGCACAGCGTGGCCGCTGCAGGCAGCCGTGCAGTGCTGGCCCCTGGGCCTGGTGCTGGCTGCTGGCCCTGGCAGTGCCATGGGACGGGCGCTGCCGCTGCTGCGCTGCCTCGGGGCGCTGCGGGAGCGCCCCAGGGCACACCCGGGCTGTGGCATCGCCTCCATCAGAGCCCTCCCACAGGTACCCACCCCTCCCTCCTGCTGCAGCTCGGCCACAGGCTGGGACAGCATTTCCCACTGGCTGGCACTGCCTTCCATCACAAACTGCACTTGCAGAGCACCCCCGGCTCTGGGGGGGGACGTTTCTGTGTTTGCAGTTCCTGCACACACAACTTGATGCAAACACAGAAACTCTGCCAGGTGCAGTGCTGAGCACTCCCACCTCCAGAGTCTGAGCTGATCTCAGTGCAGTTCACAGTTCTGGTAGTTTCTGTAGTGGCCATTTCTCCTAAATCCATTTGTGGGGACTCTCTGGAGGAGTTCCTCTGTCCTCATCCACACTCCAGATCTCAATGTGAGTAACAAAGTCAGCTGCACACCTGGCTGAACACTGTCCCCCTCTTGTCCCTGCAGGGCTCTGTCAGGTTCCACTGCAGGAGGTCCCCCCTGCATTTTGCCAACGTCAGGCCCCACACAGAGGTGTTCTCCATCTCGGGACTCAACCAGATCCTGCTGGACAGACAGGAACTCCTGCCCACATAGCTCTGCCCCTGGCCTTGGCCTCCAGGAGGGCTCTCTGCAAGCTGCTGCTTCCAAATCACTCAACATCCACTTCTGCTGCTACCTCAGAGCTTCCACAGCGCTGCCATGTACCTACACCGTGATGAAATGGGATAATACACATTATAATAACATTAAATTACATTTCCTGTATGTGGGGGCAGCTCCTGCTCCCTGCCACGTTATAGGAAATATCAACACTATGGGAACAAATCAATTCCAACAGATCAGGTGCTTGAAGCAATGAATACTTGAACTGAATGCTGCTGGCACTGCCTGCAGCAGCCAGAGCGAGAAAATAATGCACATAAATATCCCTGATTCATCCTGACTGACCACGAGTGTCCCCAAGGTGGGGAGGAGCAGCCAGCTGCAGCCCTAGGGGCAGATGTCTCAGGGAAAAGCAAGGCTGGGCTCTTGCTTTTATCTACAGAACCAAAATTTGTGAGTTCTCACAGGTACCAGGTGTCTGCAGAGCTCCCCAGACAGCATCACCCTGCCCAGAGGCTCACCAGGAGTGCTCTGAACCCTCCCCTTGTTGCTTGTGGATCTTGAAAATGTTCAGCTGCTCTGTGTATGTCATTTTAAATAAACTGCTCAATGCCTTGTCAAAGTGTCTGACCCTTCCCAACAACCTTCAGTGATCAAAAACACTTCGGAGTACCCATGGATTAAAATAAATGTAAATACATTTAATATTGTCATTGTGAAGCAACATTTGCTGTGGTGAATTTCTGTGCCAACAGAAAGAATTCCACAGAGGACCAAGCTGAACCCCCAGGATGTAAAACGGTGTCCCAGACTGGAATCAGAGCACTGACATCCACGGGCAGAGGGACAGCAGCACCTCTGGCTGCTGGCTGAGCTCCCACACCAAAATCCCGAAGATAATGAAACAAATCCATTCCCACGGCACCTCACTCGGGGAGCACGTTCTCCTTCTCCTCGGGAGGCTCCACAATGCCCAGGCAGCAGTCGGCGAACTCCACGAACAGCGGCTCCTGCATCAGCCGCCTGAGGACGGAGCTTTTGTCCCGAGCCCGCTCCAGGGCGAGCAGCAGCTGCCGCAGGTGCGGGTTCCGCAGCAGCTCCCGCAGCTCCTCCGACTCTCCTGGGCCGGGAGAGAACCGAGTCACAGCCGTGCCACGCCGGGGCAGCCGCCGCCCCGCGCGGTGCATCCCGCCCGCCCCGCTCACCCAGCAGCCGGAGCCTGTGCGCCGGGACGCGGTCCTGCTCGTCCTCCTCGCCCGGGACGTCCTCCGGGAGCCCGGCTGCGGGCACCGGCTCCTGCCCGGCCGCCTCCCGCTCCCGCGGGGCAGCATCGGGCGAGCAGCGCTCTGCGGGGAGAGCCGCGTTAGTCCCGGGCCGGGGAGAGCCGCGGTAGCCCCGGGCCGGGGAGAGCCGCGGTAGCCCCGGGCCGGGGAGAGCCGCGGTAGCCCCGGGCCGGGGAGAGCCGCGGTAGTCCCGGGCCGGGGAGAGCCGCGTTAGCCCCGGGCCGGGGAGAGCCGCGTTAGTCCCGGGCCGGGGAGAGCCGCGGTAGCCCCGGGCCAGCCCGGGCCGGGGAGAGCCGCGGTAGCCCCGGGCCAGCCCCGGTCCTCCCGCCCCTCCCGGCCCGCACTCACCGCGGTGGGTCCGGCAGCACGGCACGGAGCAGCTGTGGGGAGAACGGCGTGAGAGACGGGCCCGCACCGCCCTCCCCGCTCCCGGGAACAGCGGCACCGGCGCTACCGGCCGTGCCCCATCCCGGATACAGCGGTACCGATGGTACCGGCTATGCCCCATCCCGGATACAGCGGTACCGGCGGTACCGGCCGTGCCCCATCCCGGATACAGCGGTACCGGCGGTACCGGGTGTGCCCCATCCCGGGAACGGCGGTACCGGGCGTGCTCCATCCCGGAACAGCGGTACCGATGGTACCGGCTGTGCCCCCCGCTCCTCCCATCCCGCGGTACCGGCAGTGTCCCCATCCCGGAGCAGCGGTACCGGCCGTGCCCCAGCCCTCCCATCCCGCGGTACCGGCCGTGCCCCAGCCCTGCCCTGGCTCACTAGGCGCTGCCGCAGCGCGGACAGCGGTACCGGGCCGCGGCCCCCGCGCCGCACTCCGCGCACGGCCCCGGTGCCCGCATGGCTCCGCCGCTCCCGCCGCCGCGGCCCCGCCCGGGCGCGCCCCCGCCAGGCGCGTCTAATCCACGGCCGAGAGCGGCGCGCGCCCCCGGCCAGGCGCGTCTAATCCACGGCCGAGAGCGGCGCGCGCCCCCGGCCAGGCNCCCCCGGCCAGGCGCGTCTAATCCACGGCCGAGAGCGGCGCGCGCCCCCGGCCAGGCGCGTCTAATCCACGGCCGAGAGCGGCGCGCGCCCCCGGTGCGCGGAGATGTGTCCGTGAATTGACAAACACACACGGAGAGATGTGGATGTGGGTATGGAAAGAGATATAGATATGTAAATATGGGGAGAGAAGGGGGAGCGGACTGGGAGATGTGTGTCTGGAGATAGGGGTGCCTATATAGATATGGGCACATATAAAATACATAACCAGATGTAGATGTGGGGATATAATACAGAAATATAGAGTTAGGGACACACAGGTAGATGTCAAGATGAGGAAACAACAACAAAGCAAAGAAACTGGAAAGAAGGCCCTGAAAACCCCAGCTGTGGGACTGTGTGTGATGAATGTGAGAACATCATCACTCTGTGGGTTTTCATGGAATTTGATTGCTGAGCACCGGTGAAACACCACAGAGCAGCAGCTGAGCAGTGCAGAACCAGAAACACGACTGATGTCACAAAATCCATCCAGTCCAGGCTTCTAAAAAAGTTTAAACATTGACATTCCTCTGGGAAATATCCCAGTGTAACTACAAATAAGCCTCCACCTCCGGTGGGATCTGACAGAATAATATCTACTAAATAAATATTCAGCAACCAACTCTTTTTTTCTTTGGAGAGGGAGTAGTCAAGACCTTTTGCTTGTACAAAGCATTCTGCTCTTGACCTTTTTATTTCTTTCTGTCCAGGCAACTTGACTGCAGCTATGATCCTGAAGAGCCCAGCCAAGGTTTTCACCTGGAGCAGCACAAATTCCACAAGCCAGGCACTTGAGAGTGCCTTTAAAAGCAGAAATATGAAAGTGCAGCCAAAATACCTCACCAAAACACCTCGTCCAGCAATCAAAATTACAGCAGGGAGGCAGTGTTGATAAAGATTCATCCAGCAGTCAAAAGCCACACTGTGACCGACTGAGCAAGAAAGGAAAACGCTGTTATTCCCCAAAATTCCTGGGAATTGCCCAGCTGTCCCACCCTCAAACAAAGCAGACAGGGTTCATGGAGTTCTTTGGGACAGCAGCTCCTGTTCCTGTGAACCCCTGAAGGACAGGGGCAGTGTGAAAAACACCAATCACTTGTTTTTTTTAAATCTTAAAACAATCACTTGTTGGGTTTTTTTTATTTTTTTTTTAGCAATAAAATAGTTTTTAAAAATGTAATAAAATTAGAGTAATAAAAAAATTGAACAATGAGGATTAGGACACTACGAGACAATGAAAAGCAAAGAATTTTGGACATCTGGGTGTTTTTGGGCACTGAGCTGCCAAAAACCTGCCTTGTGTAGGAATAACCCTTCAAAGGAGCAGCCTGTTGCATATTCATGTATCTCATACATGGTGCATAAATTCCTTGCAAATTAAGAATTTTTCTGGTTTTTGTCAACTTCTTCCCTTTAATCCTGGTGATAAAGACAGAGAGAAGGTGGAAGGATGTTTGTCTTTTCTGACAAGGAGGCTGTAACTCTTTAGGTTTTGTGTTGCTGTTATCTCTGTGTGAAGAGTTTTTTTTTATTTTATTATCTTTTTCCCTTTCTTGAGCTAGTAAAAAATACCTTACATCACAGAGTTTCCATTTTAACGTCACAGTTTTTCCATTTTATGTTGCAACCTAAAACTATATTTAACACACTACTTAAAACGGATTAATACAGTATTACAAAATAACCCTCCATAACACATATAGTATTCAATTTAATATCTGAGAAGAGCCAATCATAAAATACTCATTTTTCACAGGCAGGGACAGGGCCAGGGCCTCTTCCCCACGGGTTTTTGGCAGCTTGTCTGGATTTGTCTGTTCAGTGCCAGTGTCCTGCTTTAGGGCTGTGAAAAATGCATTTTATGTGATTAGCTCTCTGCAAATGTTAAACTGAGTACTGTATGTGTTGTGTTGGAAAGTTATGCTGTATTCATCTTTTAAGTAGTGCTGTATTAATCTCTTCTAAGTGGTGCTGTGTTCATCTTTTTTTAGCAGTGTGGCAAATATAGTTTTTAGGCTATAGCATAATATTAAAACAGAAACTATGTGGTGTAATATAATAATAATTTTTGTAACTAGCTCATAGAATGGATAATTAAGAAATTCTTTACATAGAAATAACAGCAACAAGACATAAGATTCCAAGACAAGAATTATTGCCTCCTTATGGTGAAGACCCAGACTTCGAGGGACCAGCAGGATTGATTTGCTAGATGAGGGGGGATTGAAATGAAGCAGAAACACTCTTAGTTTGAAGAGGAATGTTTGAATTATGTATGAGATATATGAATATGCAATGGGCTATTGCTTTTAAAGGGTAATCCTTTGTTGGCAAGGTGTGTTTGTGGCAGTGCCAGGCACCCAGAGGTCTGTCGTTCTTTGTTTTTTATTGTCTCTTGTCATCCCCGTTTTCATTGCTATTAAACTTCTAAAATTTTAACACAACTGAATGGTGTTTTTCACAGGGCAAATCTGGGAGAAAACCTCCAAAAGGGCCCCCTCAGAAAGTCAAACCACACAACCCCTCCCCTCAACCAGCTCGGGAAAAATTTCCTGGGAGAGAAGTGGGAAAAAAACTGTTTATTTAACAGGCAAAGCACTCCCCAGCACATAAAAAATGAACAATACCAGGTGACAAAGTTCATTTGCTGCTCTGAAGAGATGACAAATTCAGAAAGTCTCTCCTGTGGCTGGTGGCTCTGTTCTCAGTCCCTCTGGCACTGGGAGAGGATGCTGCCCAGAGCAGGCCACAGATGCGAGCTTGTGCCAGGCACATTCTTCTTTCTTTCAGGATTTTTCATAGAGGAGCACAGAGGAAAGAAAGGGAAAACAATTCCCATTTCTACTCCTTGTTTTTCCCATGTGGAATGTGTTTGGAGAATTGTTTACCTGGGGTGATGGCTTGGCTGGATTCTGGTGAGGATTGTTTGAGCTGGTGGCCAATTCAACCCACCTGGGGCTGGACTAGAGCGAGACAGTCACGAGTTGTGAGTTGTTAGATATAGGAGTTAGAAAAGTAGGTTTGTAGTTTGAGTATCTCCTTTAAATAGTATATTAATGTATTGTAGTATAGTTATAACAAAGAAATCATTCAGCCTGAACTGGAGTCAGACATCAGCATTCTTCCCACCGGCTTCACTGCGTTTCCAATCCACCTCTCGCTGCTCCCCAGGTCCTGGTCCGGAGCAGGTTCCAACAGTTCCAAGAAAAGGGAAAGAAAAAACAACAGCCCAGGGAAACCTTCTCTGCCTCAGTGGCTAAACTAACTAAAAAGCAAGGGAGCTCTCTGTTCTGCTCCGTCCGTGCCCACACAGCAGCGTGCAGCGCAGAACGTGGAGTGCTGCTTCCAGAGGAGCCCCCGTGCTTCATCTTCTCCCCACCTCCGCTCTCAGAGCCAGTCTGGAGGGCACAGAATGGAACATCCAGCAGGAACAGGCACGGCACTGGGCTCAGCAGCACCCCAAAGCCACCGCAGCCCCCAGCCCGGGGTCAGCCGTGGCCGATGGCGCAGGCGCGGCCGGCCGCGAGGCCCCGCAGCGCCTTCAGCCTCAGCGTGTAGAGCAGGGGGTTGCCCAGGCAGGTGAGGGTGATCAGCATGGCCGTGCAGTTCCTGAAGATGTACACCCCGGGGTACAGCTCCCCGTGGCAGCGCTGGTTGACGGCGTCGAAGACGACGCCGGCCAGGAAGGGCGCGTAGGACACCAGGGCCAGCAGCCAGATGGAGATGCTGGTCCTGGCCACCTGCGTCTCCGCCGACCTGTAGGTGCCCGTGGCTTGGCCGCACGCCTGCATCCTCAGCTTCCTCTTCCTCAGGATGATGATGATCCGCAGGTAGGTGAAGAGGGGCACGAGGAAGGCCACGGCCACGTTGGGCATGGCGATGAAGACGAGGTAGCTGACGCAGAAGGGGCTGTAGAGCACCGAGACGTTGCTCTCCGCCTGCAGGCAGTTCCAGCCCATCAGGGGCAGGCAGCCCAGGAAGAAAGCCAGCAGCCAGCTGATGAAGACCACGGCGATGGAGTGGTTCCTGGCCACCCGGAACCTCGTCCTCATGCTGGCGGCCACGGCCAGGTAGCGCTCGATGCCGATGCTCACCAGGTTGTAGATGGTGGACAGGATGGACGTGGTGTACAGGGAGTAGGGAGCCAGCATGTCCTGGGAGCCAAAGATGGTGATGTCGGGGTTGGTGATGAACAGCATGGAAATCCAGAAGCCAGAGAAGCTGGTGAAGAGGTCAGAGACAGCCAGGTTGCAGAAGAGGATGGAGATGGGCTTGTGCAGGTCCCGGGTGGCCAGGCGGGTGAAGATGACGGTGCAGTTGAAGATGATGGAGACGACGTTGATGGTCAGCTGGGGGATGCCCAGGGCCAGCACCAAGTAATGATTCCAGATCCTGGTGTAGTTGGCAGAGCAGTTTGGGAACCCATTCATGGTGGGAAATGCTCCTTTCGGCCGGCTCTGCTCATCCCATTCTCCCCCTCGGTCCTGGGCAGAGGTCCTCTCCTCCACGCAGCTCCTGCTGCCACATCACCATCGGCACAGGGGTTAAACTTTAACCAGGCGTGTTTTTAAATATTTGGGTTGCCAGCTGGGGGCTGTGCCAGCCCCTGGCAGTTGCTAGGATAGCCCAAACTGCAGAACACGTTTCCCACACGGATGAGCTGCTGGAAGCAACCTTTGACAAGAGCAAAACCTGCCCAGGGCTTGGGGAGATGGGTGGGCACGCCTGCAGGTTAAAATCCTTCAAGGATGTTCTCAAACAGAGTGAAGTGAATCCAGCTTTAACTCACAAATTAATTCATCATAAAAGGCTAGAGAGCCAGGAAATGGAGAGCAGAGTTTTGTGGGTTTGGAGGACTGAGGGAAATAAAACATCACTGCTGTGTCTCCAGCTTGGACCACAACAGCCCAGAAAATGCCTTTTTCCAATTAATCCTTTCACGATAACACAGCTAAAACCCAGCCAACACCACTACCCCTGCCCTTGCTACAGGATATTTTGTGTTTATTTCATGTGGTTTGTTCATTAATAAACCAATATCAACACCAGTGTAGATTTTTGTTCTCCACCTTTTTAAATGCAAATGATTTTTGAGAACTTAGATTGGAAATACCCGAGAGTTGGGGGGCGGAAAAAAAAGCTCTGGGGACACACATTCCATGCTCTCAGCAGAGGGCACTGCTGGAATAAAATACAGGATACAGACGCAGCAGGGAGATTTTAACCAGGTGAGCAGTCCAGGTGAGCAGGACAATTATCCAGGTAAATGATCCATTTATCCACGTTATTTATTCGGATTCAATTTGTGTTTTCTTGTTACCTTGATGAAGGATTCACCTTCCTTGGTCACAATTTTCTGCCACGGCCTTGCCAAGCAGCTCAGCTGAATTGATGGGCTCCCACATTCAGCACTGATCATGACAGCAGCAATTCCAGCCCAGAGGTGGGAATCTGTGAACTCTGATAGCTCTGCCACATTTAAAATGTGGGACATTTAGGGTAGAATTTTGAGTTTAAAAAGGGGAATTCTAGGGTTTTTTTTTTCTATTGAAGTGTATGAAAGCATATTCAGTTTAATGTGCAGTCATCATCCACCATTTTTGTGTACCAGGAATACTTTATAATTAATCAATACACTTTTAAAGTGGGATTATTATACTTTATACAAGTCTAAGTAAGCAACAAGCATTTCAGATGGTCACATAGGGAGTGATAACATAGAAATAAGGGCTGAGAACTGATCAATCAAGCCTGCGGGTGCATTAACACCCTAGAAAATATTCTTCTCCCAGTGTCCCAGATAAAACTCCCTTTGTAATCCCAGCCCTGGCAGCCACACCTCGGGTGTGAGGTTGCTGCTGAACAAGGGCCCCACTATTTCTGTCCCCCCTGAGCCAGCCCAGCAAATCCTTTCCCTCCCAGCAGAAGTGGCAGCACGGCCCAGGTGGGCACAGGACACCCGTGATGGACACAACATCCACAGAGCAAAACGGTTTGGAAAATGCCCCGGTGGCTAAAAATTACTTAGCTGTGAATTTGGGCTCCAAATTGCTCTAGATATTCCAGAAAATGCTGCTTGAAGTTGCTCTAATTTGAAAATTTGGTGCTCGAGCACAAAATGCTAAACATTGTGAGATGAGAATGTAATTAAAGTAATATCAAGTGGTATAAATAGCTCTCCACAAAAGATTTGTAATCTGATTTCCCTAATAGAATTGCATACAAATTACCATCATGTTGCTGGATTAAGGGAGACAATAGTGGGGAAGCTGCTTTTTTAGTGGGCTTTAATACTCAGAAACCCTCGGATTTGTGTATTCCAACCCTCTGTGATGCAGCTGGGGCTCCCCAAAGCAGATGAAAAATACTTTAAGTTTAAAGCCCAGCCTCTTCATGGAACAACCTCAATTCAAGGGCGTTTTTCTACTCCTGTATTCCAGGAACTGAGCATCATTCTCTGTGCTTACCTCACTATACCTCGTGAGGAATTGTTATCTGCATCCTATAAATGGGGAAAGAACAATCCCATTGTTTGTTTAAGGTGACACAGGATTCCAGGGACTGAATCTAATCTCCAGGATCTCAGGCAGACACCTCCAACACTGACTGTACCTTGCTGTGCGCAGCCTTTGATTTATGTTTACTGAGATTGCACCTTCTGTAACACTTTTTTTTTTTAGTTCTGTGATTGCATTGACTGAATTTTTCTGAATGCCCAATTTATTTTGATGTATGTGTAAGAAATGGCCTCATTTTGTGGAATTATCTGTTGATTGTGCCTGTGGGGAAGACAGTAACCACTGACCACACTGAAGAGACTGAGAAAGAGGCAGGAGAGGCTCCAGGCTGAATTTTTAGTGATGGTTCGAGTGAGGAAAATCCAAGTTCACCCAGCTGAGCTCGCAGCCTCAGAATTGCCCCCAGCTGCAGCTCTCAGCCTCCAGTGGGACCCAGAAGGGCTCAGAAGGAGAGGCCCCGGCTGGGACACACCAGAATTGATCCCAAAACAGGGAATTCATCCCCTGGGCAGCTCCCACCCTCGCCCTGGGGTCCTCTGCTGGAACTGGAACCCTGCCTGAAGCTCCAGAGGAAAATGCATCCTTGTGGTGAGACAGGAATGCCACAGCACAGGGGGGAGAGGAGATGCAGCACGAGCCAGAGGTTGTGTGCACGCAGGAGAGCCCAAAAAGGATGAGGGTTTTCAGCACCCTGCTTTCTGCCCTGTCACCTTCTCCACCCCGACACCAACGCCTGGGAGCTGGGAGGGTTCTGCTGTCTCCCCGCTGTCCCTGCACTCAGCTCTGCACTGGGACACCAACCCTGGGCCAAAAACCTGCCCGGGGACTGGGCAGCTGGGCAGGATCACTGCATGCATCCCAGCTTTTGTGCCATGACCCTCAGCACAGCACATCAGTGTCCCTCTGCCCCGGCTCTCCGCGGGCATCACGAGGCCTGCAAGGAAGAAGCAGTCAGGAAAGGGAGTGATACAAATAAGGAGCCTATTTATCAAATTTATGTTTCAATTAATGCAGATTAAAGCCTTCCTTTCTGGAGAGGGAGGCACAAACGGGGTCTGTGATCCCTGTCCAAGATTTTTCGGAGCTGTTTTGAAAACACAGAGCTCTGCTCCTCCCTGCTCCAGCCTCTCTCCTGGAGGAATTTTTGCCTCCCAGGTTTGGAGTGATGGGAGACTGTTGTTATAGGATATGTGAAAGTATAATGTGTGCTACTGCTATTTGTAAGGTAAAGAAGAAGAATGTTTATTTTCTGACTCTAACTTTTATACTTTTTTAAAGGTGACAGTGGATTGGAGAGTGAATGGGCCACCTCTCCAAAGACATTGGACAAACTATTAGGATATGAAGTTTTTCTACTCTTATGAAGGAATATAAAACAATATGTTGTTTATAGAATATTGTGTGAAAAAGTTTTTTAACAGAATATAAACTCAGAAGGCTTTAGAAAATCTTAAGAATCAAAGCAACGGGAGACAAACACCTGGAGGCAGGTGTGTGGCAAACAAAGCCGGGTGTGAGGAAGGCAGAGCAGATCCCATCCCTGCTGCCAGGGCTCCATGGAATGACCCGTGCTGGGGCAGCATTCCCAGGGCAGCACTCAGCACAGCCACAGCAGCCCATGGAAGATGAAGCTGGAATATTTCTGCTTCATCCAGAGCTCTGAAATTCCAGATTTCCTCTTCAGTGCCATGGGAACTCTGGGGAATAAAATGACAGCACACAGCCAAGTGAAGAGCACGCTGTGTTCTCTCACCCTGCAGGGTGGGATTCCCAGTCACCCACTGGCTAATTCCTAAACCCATCTGGGTTTTAAATCCCTTGGAAGTGCTTTTCTGTCCCCTGCTGGGTCAGCTCATCCCTGACCAGGGTTTGGGCTCAAGCCAGCCTCACCCTCTCAGCCCTTGCTGCTGTGGCTCTCCAGGCCACAAGACCAGTGCAATTTTTACTGGATTTGATATTCCCTCCACTGTAGCTGCCAGGAAAAACCAGAATTCAGAGAGCTGCTTAACTTTGTGTCACCTCCTCTGACCAAGATGCTCCCACGTCTTCAGGTTCAGCACCCAAAAATCTTTGTGTAAATACACCCAGATCTTGATGGCATCGTTGCATCTCAGGGCAGTTCTGGTTTTGCAGAGGAATCAGAATCACCCTGAAGTGCAACGATGCCATCAAAAACTGATACCCAAGCACCTGGCAGGGGAGTTTCCTTAGGGAAAAAAAAAAATAAAGCTAAGGAGATCAAATTATGCCAGCCCTGCTTGTTTAGATGACAGGCTTTAGAAGGAAAGGGAATGCCTTTGCCTGAGTGTGCCTTCACTTGTGAGCTCAAATGAAGGCTTAATTAACGTGACTGCAGTGCAGTTTATTGCCACTTTGATAATGACATGCTGGAAGGTTTAGAAACAAAAAGAAGAAAATAAATTAAAAAAAAAAAATAAAAGGAAAATCAATCAATCAATCAATCAAGAATCCTGATTTTCAAGACCAGAATTTCTAACCCTCAGCTTTCCAGTCCTGAACAGAGCACTTCAAGGAAATAGAGCAGGAAAAAGCCTCCGGGGACGTTGGTTCAGCTCCCTGGTGAGGAGCAGCCCAGGGAAGGAGCAGGAATTGTCCCTTGGATGCCCTTGGAGCTGCAGAGCTGCTCTGCGTGCTCAGCATCCCCCTGGCCCCGCAGGGACCTGGAAGGGACCAAACTCCACCAGCCCCTCTTTGTTCCCCCCACAGGAATTATTCACCCCATCACACGTGCGAGGCAAAGCTGCAGGGTGGGAAAACACTCCCCGAGAACTCTGCGTTGTGCAAATGTCATTTACAGCCCCGTTTTTAGGAATAAAGGAGCTGCTCTGGGTGTGCCTGAGCCCCTGCGACCCCCCTGCCACAGCAGCAGGGCAAGGAGAGATTTCTCAGCTGCTTTTTTGTTGAATGCAGCCTCTGCTGGATGACTCTGCACGCTCAGCTCAGCTGGAATAACATCACTTCTCTGCCCATTCCCCACAGCATCCTGCTCTTCTTGCTCCCGGCCCAGCTCTGGGCTTGTGCCCCCACGGGCATTTGGGAAATGAATTTTGTTTTCCTCAGCTGGATCAAAATGCACCCCCAAAAATCCCAGAGATGATGCTGTGTCTGTGATAAAGCTGTGTCACTTTTCTTCGTTGAATGCAAATTCTGAGTTGTCCCTGAATCGTGTTTAATTTTTTAAAAAATTAGATGGGAAAACAAAGGGGACCAAACCAAAAAAATCTGCGTATTTATCATTCTACAGCAGCAGAAAGTTGAGAAAAAGCATTATTTTAAAAATGTATCGTTGCTTAATTGCCTACGTAAGGTGTTCTATGTCACCTAATTAACATTTCCTGTTGCTGCACATGGAATTCCCATTTTCCAGTCCCACAAATCAAGTCCAATCCTGTTTGGAGAGCTGTGGGGTAGAAGTGAGGGGGAGTTGGGGTTTTATTTGTCTCCCTGGGTTTTTTTGGTTTTTTGTTTTAAGGAAACGTTAACACACGTATTAATTGAATGTCACGAGGCTGCCAGGAGAAAAGCTCCCAGTAAATAAAAATGTGACATTTTACTTGGGCAAAGCCTCAGTTCTTCACTAAAGGCTCCTTGCTCAGTGCCAGAAAGCCTCACTCCTTTTGCCATCCACTTTGGAGAATGAATAAATTCAGGCAAATCAGGAGCAGGGCAAATCTGGAGAAATTACAAAGGGGAGGAGTTCACCTTCCTGCTATGGCTTTCAGGTCTGTCCTGGACTACTTACTCCAGTATAAAACTGAGAGCAGAAATATGATCACATCCCGAGGAGTCTGATCAATTCTGGTTTCAACACTGAGCCTATTTAAGCTAGAGAATGGAATTGCTGCTCCTTGCTCTGTCCTGCCTGCACGTTCTCAAGACAGAGGCAGTAGGTAAGTCCTTCCCTGCTCTTTCTAACCCCACCTTAAGCTCACTCCTATTTCTGATTTGTTTCTGACTATCAGGACATGCAGTGCAGGCTCTCTGATTCTTCTCTCTGGTAAATGAAGGATGATTTATTTGTTTCTCTGCCTTTTATTATTTGTGTTAAAATATCAAGGACAGGCTTTTCTCATGAATGAATGAGTGCTTTGGGGGTTTCTTTTCACCTTTTGAGATTCTATCTGCCTTCCTCCTCCAAGAAAAATCAATGAGCTTTGACTTGATCTCTGTATTTTATTATGTACGTGCATTTAAGATACCAAAACTTAATTTCTTTATCTTTAAAACCCCTTTAAACTTGAAAGAAATTGCTTGTTTGAAATTTCTACTCCCTTTGCTTTGCTGTGTATGATCCAAGATGAAATTCTGCTGAGGGAGAAAGAACAATATGTCTTTGCTGCATCAGCCCAGCAGCCCCATCTATTTTTGCTCCCTGGGCACTATAAGTACTCTGTGCACTTAGGATGGCTCAATTAAATTGTGATCTATAATTAGTATTGAAAAATGCAGGAGGTATTTTCCCCCCTGCTTCTGTTCAACCAGCAGCACGGAATAAATCCCTTTTCCTATGCAAATACCAGCCCAGAGCCTCGAAATTAAACACTGCAGCTCTTAAAAGTGACGAAGGGTCCATTGTTTGCAGCAAAATAGAGCAGAGTGCAGGGAGGAGAAAAGGGCTCCAGCATTATCAGGGGGAAGTGCTGCCCTGGGAGCTGCTGGAGGGAGATGGTGTTAAAGCAGATCAAGGTTCAGAGCTGCTCAGAAATCCTGGAGGGTTTCCCTGGGTTTCTTTCTCTGCTCTGAATGAATTCCCTCAGCAGCTTGGCTTCCCCAAATTCCTCCCTGACCTTCCAAGCCCTTCCCTCTGCTCAGCCCCTGTTCTCCCCACACCTGGGCCAGGTAAACACAAAAACACAAACAGCTTTTGCTTTTCCAAACTCTGCCCCTGGGGTTTGCCTCCCATTGATCCTGGTTATCAATGCTGTGCTAAATTTACTGCCCCGGTAGTTAGGGAAACCTAAAGGCTGGCCAGAAAACCCTTGTGACTTGATTAGATTGGTGTCAATAATTAGGGTTTACCTCTCTATCAGGAGATAACACAGGGAATGCATAGATGATCATTTGTGGGTGATTTTTGCCCCCTCTAGCCCGGTTATTACCATGTTTTTCGTTGAGTATGGACCAAATTTCACAGTCATTAATACACAAGAAAATTACTCTCTACACCTTCTCCAAACTTCTCCTCAGGCAGTAGCTCCACAGGATACAATTAATTAAGTTAAAGGCTAACACGTTTCAAGAAACTCCACTTTTGAGAACCAGCTGAAATTCCTCCTTGTTGTATTCCTTCTTGTTATCTTTTTTTTTTTTTTTTAAAGAATAAAGCTCTCCTTCCTGCCTTGCCACTTGTGAGAACCAGCCTGGGTGATGTGCCCGGAGCAGCTCACTGAGCCCAGCTCACAGCTCAGCAGCCTGAGCCAGCCAAAGCCCTGATTGCTAATCTCAGCTTGCTGCCAGCCCTGTCAAACAGCAGAGCACCTGTGGCTTGAAACCAGCATGAACAGTCCTAGAGGGCTTTCTAAGGAAGGGAGGGACACTATCCCTGTTGTAGGAGAGGGAAACTGAGGCACGCTGGTGCAGGCACCTGCCTAGGGACCAAACATCACCCCCAAACCTCTGTCCAGCCTCATCCTCTGGCTCATCCAGGTCCCAGCTTATTCCATTTACAGCTGCACTGATCCACCTCAGGTTTCTTGTCTGGTTCCTTCGAGAGCTCAGGGATCCTCTGGGGCTGTTTTTGGGGAAAAGAGAGACAAAAGTGTCTGCAATTTCCAGCAGGAATGCTCCAAAACTTGTGAGAGGGAGGGATATCCATCCATCCATCCCTCTGTCCATCCATCCCTCCATCCCTCCAGCAGCTCTGGGGTGGGGTTACAGCAAAGTCACTGAAAATTATCTTTATTCAGGGAGAATGGAATGAACCCCAGCACGTTTTAACCTTTTGCTTTATCACAGAGCAAGACTCAGCCATGAGGAGACAAATCTCCCACAGTCCATGCTCTGCTGCTCCAAAAGATTGATGCCTGATAGGACATTCCTCTAATTTAGATGAGATCAGATCCCTCTGATTTTCTGTATTTCTGCTTACATGCTTTTACCCTTCACAAACATTAAATTTACATAACCATGCGGACATTGGCATCAATTCTCACTCTGGGGTTCCCTTGGGGCCATTCAGGTACAAAATACCCCTGAGAGCTCCATCAGCAGCTAAAAAAAACCAAAACAAAACAAAACAAAAACAAAACATAAAATAAAGTAAAATAAAAATATTCTGTGATTCTTCCCTTTCCAGTTCTAATGGTGTGGACTGCACACAGATTTATGGTTGGGCTCCAAATCCATTTCAGAGCTGCCAAATTCGGGATGCTGGCGCACTTGGACACGCTCTGGGGTGAAAAGTTGCATTTTCAGCTGAGTAAAAAAGGATAATAAATGCAATTTAAGACCTGGAGCACAGAGAAAAGGCAGTGAGCCACAGGAATGATGGAATTACCCCAGTGAGGGGTTTAGGTCACCCCTGGGGTCTCCATCAGGTCGGGATCCAAGCTGCCCCTTCCCCAGGGACGAGGATGATCCTGCTCAGTTTTATCCATGATTTCCCCATGGATGCTCCTGGCTCTCCCACTGGGATGCTGGAAGCAGAAAAGCCTTGGACACTTGCAAAACTCCAGCACAAACCTTGAGCTCTCCTAGCAAAGCTGCAAAGCCCAGAGTGTGTCTCTGTGCAGGCTCTTTTCCCTGCCTGTGGCATTGCAGGGGATGCTCTGTGGTGTTCCAGCATCTCTCCACTGGCCTGTTATTAGATTTTTAGTCATATTTTTAGCCGCAGGATCAGCCATCAAAATCTCATTGTAAAAGGCTGCAAAGGGCCAGCAAAGCTACCAAGTGATTTGTTTGAATGCAATTTTAAAAGTAGTTTAAAATAAATAATTCTGAATTGCATTTTTATTAAAGAAAGCCAGGCGAAACCTCTCACAGGAGGAAATCACCTTAGCCCTGGATACTGATTTTTTTGTTGCAGCTCCTGCCTTTGATACAGGACATTTCTGAGGGCACATTATCTACAGCAGAGTACCACAGGTCACAGCTGAAAACCTTCCCCTGCTCTGTGACACAGAGGAAGTCGTTTGCAGATGTTAATAGATGTTTGCATATCCAGAATCCCCGATTCCCTTTGGACTTTTCCTGCAGTTCGTGTCTGTTCCAAAGGCCTCACCCAGCCTGTGATTTATGTGTGCAAATTATAAACATCAGATGTGCTGCCTTGCAAGGCTTCCCCACCACAATAAAGCTGATTTCCAGGCTAGCTGCCCATCATCTCCTGCAATATACCTGCATAAAGATGTGCATCCCTAGGGAAAAATCAAATTAAGGTGAAAAGTGAAGAGAAGTGAATGGCCACCAGCCTTGCAGGGACACACAGATCTCGAGGTGAACTTTTGGAACTGGTTTTGTCTCTCAAAGGGGCTGCCTGGGGCTTCCTGAGGATGTATAATGCTTCAGAAGGTATAAATATTCTCTATATGCTCAGTTGGTGCCCATTAATTAGAAAGACAGGCTTAGATAACAATTGCTTTTGTTCTGTCTTTTGCACTAAAAATAGAAAGTTTCACAAAGCCAGCTAGAAATAGGATGAGTCCAACACAAGGCAAACCTAAAAATCAATCCCATGCAAACCCAGCTTTTGCCATTTTGGTGGAAAAGAGTGAGAGCAGATTTTGGGGGTGGATTTGAGGATGAGGATGGCAGAGCTCTGGGACCCCCAGGAAAACAGGGAATGGCCAGGCAGGATGGCTGGAAGGGGGACAGGAGCCTAAAGGGACACAAAAAGGACTCAGGGGAAAGAGAAAAAGGATTTGAATTAAAAATCAGCACAGGACATTCCTGCTGTCCCAGGCAAAAAGATCATTCACACTCCCAGAAGCTCAATATCGTTAATAAAACCAGTAAAAATAATATTAAAAACCACAATAATAAACCCAGCAAAATAGAAGCTGAATAAACCCCAGGCACTCCATCAGGAGCAGGAATTGAGGCAGTTTAGCCCGTTTTAGTGACCCTTGAGTGCACAGGAACAGGTTAAATGGCATTTTCACCCAGCACACCAAGCAGCTCCAAGTGGGACAGAGCAGATTGGGGAACTTTTGTGGAATTCAGACAATCTGAGCATGGTCCAAAGAGCCGAAGGGTCTTTTCCCAGATCTCACAATTGCACCTTGGCAGGGCTGCTCCAGCCTGGCCCCCGGCCAGCAGCACCTCCCCTCTCACCGGGCAGGAATATTTTATTTATTTTTTTGGCCTCCAGCTTCCAAACGAGGCTTGATAGCCGAAACAATTGGAAGCGTTTGTAATGAAATGAAAACAATACGTAATTTGTATTGTTTTTTCTGCCAAGAAGCAGCTTTGGGCAGGAACCAGTTGTAAATTCCAGGAGGAAGAGGCAGAGATAAGTGGGACTGCTCACGTGCCAAGACAGGCTCCCTAAATTTAACTGTCCTGAACTCTGTGGAGGAAGAGCCAGCCCTGTCCAGCCTTACTCTAAATTAAACCAAATAAAGTCAAGGTGACACCTGTGGGATAGCACAGAACCACTGAAATCAAGGATAAATCCATAATAAAATGTAAGAGAAAGAGATAATTGATAATACAGTAAGTCCAGATGTGCATATCTACATCTTTATCTATATTTTTATTTATATTTGTATTTATATATTTTTATATCTGTATATCACAGCAATCATCTCAGGACCTCAACCACAAAAACAAACCAAAAATCTTCCCTAAACCACTGAAAACCCCACTTTCTGCTGTGTTTTTCCAGCAATAAATTGAACTGCAGGAAAGTGAGTGTGGGAGCTGAGGTGTGAGTGGAAGGGCAGAGCAGGGTGGGATCCGAGGGCTCCCAGAGCCCACAAAAAAGGGGGTTCAGAGGGAGATTTTGGAGGGGGGACAGAGGGAAGGTGAAGGGCACGGTTGTCAGAGGGGACAAAAGATGAATGGAGCCAGGACAGGAATTCCAGATGAAGAGGGAACTGTTTGGATTCTGTAAACACCAGGGAGGGAAAAGAATTGTTTAGGGTGGTTCGGTGATATTTCTAGGAGTGATGGGATGCAGATAAGGAAGTGGAAAATGTAAGCTATTAAATAGGAAACATTTCCTGACAGTGTGGGCTAATGCACTGTGGAAAAGTCCTCCAAGGGAAGTGGCAGGAGCCTCTGGATAATTAAAAGTGGCCTGGACAATGTGCCTGAGGACAGAATCCTGGCTAAAACCACAGAGAGGTGCCTGCATGTGACAAGGATCTTCCCTTCTTGCTTAGCAAAGAAAGCCCCAGAGCTCAGGGGAAGAAAGAGCCATTGTCATGCAAGGTTCCTATAGGGAGGGAGGCTCCCCTCCCACTCAGATCAAATCCAAATTTTCCTCCTGGGGACTCTGTGGTTCCTCCTGAGCAGCACCCACACAAAGGCTCCTGTTCCCCAGTGTTCCATTGCTGCCAATCACAAGAAAAAAACCCAAACCACAAATGAAAAACCAGCCCTAATTCACACTAAACATGAATCCTCTGTTTGCTCAGGCATTCTGTGATGTTTAATTAGCTCGTTCTTTAAGGTTTAAGAGCTTCAAGGACATTTTTCTTATGAAGTGCTGGATTTATGTGCTCCTCTACTTCACTGATACCATCCAACCACAAGTGTGCTCAGGACTTTGTAGAAAACACAATCCTTACCTTGTTCAGAGACACTGGGGGTTTGGTGGAAAGGTGCAAAAATCAGATGCTAATTATTAAACACTCCTGAGAGCTGGATGTGAGGCAGCTGCAGCCACTGAGGGCTGGATTTTCAAAATGAAACTTTAATTTATTCAACTTTTTCTCCCCATCATTTTGCTGCCCAGGCTGGAAGATCTGTGGCGTGCTCAAGTGTCAGTTTACTGAGGCGTGATTGCAACAAGTTTATTTGATGGCACAGAACCACTGAAAAAAAAAGATAAATCCATAATGAAATATAAGAGAAAGATGATTGACAAAACAGCTTCCCAGACCCCTGTCCAGGGGGTAAAAACTCAGTGATTTCTGTCTTGGGGAAGGGTGGGACATAACCCATTTTCATCCCCCTGGCACACAGGCCCTGCTCAGCACCACCACCAGCACAATTTGGGGATAATTCCCCTTGCCCCTGTGGCTCTCTTGGAATTTGGTGGTTCCAGGGAAGAGGTTTAAAATCTCCCCAGCCTTGAAGCTGCTGCCCTGGCTCCCAGCGCCTGAAAAATCAGATTTATCTTGCAGAAATGCTTTGATGCTCCCATCCCATTGTAAAACCTCCTGGAACTGCCCAGCCTGAAGTTCTCACCTTCCCCCTCTGCTTTCCATCCCAAAGATTTGGCAGCACATCCTTCCAGGTTATTCCTGCTGTTTTTTTTCACACCTGAAGGTTCCTTCGTGTGTAAATTGGCAAGAAACTCCCAACCCCAGGCTTGGGGGATTGTTAAAAGTTCACACTGACCCCAGAGCAGCTGCCAGAGCCTCACCTGGAGTCTTTGATCTGTGCAGAAAACACAGGTGGAGGCAGTGAGGAGATCAGCTCAGCTGGCATTCTGCAAGAAATTAAAATTAATCATTTTAATTTATTGATTAAAATATCGATTCAGGCACTCGGTGGCATCCTGTGCTTGGAACTTCTGCAGTTTCCCAGTGGGGATGAGGAAAAGCTCTGTCCTGGAAAGATAAAAAAAGCAACAATCAGTGCTGGAAAATGAAGTTTTGTGCGTGTTAGGGATCTGCCAAAAGGATAAAACCTCGTCAAAACCAGTTTTTGGATAACAACATAGAAATCCCTGCAGTTCTAACCACACAGAAAACACAAAGTTTGTGTTTCTTCCCTGTCTTGCTAAACAACAAAGTGAGGCAACACTTCGTAGTTTTCAGCAGAAATTTTGTTTTTGTGAAAGACATTTTTTTAAGGTTATAATAATTGCCACGAGGTTTCCCTCTGTGTCACAGCAGCTCAGGTTTTACAACAATTCTCTATTTCTAACTTCTAAATACTTAGTAGATGGATGTATTGTTATGCCACTGATATCAAGATAAAGGTGTTAAAAGCCTTCCAGCAGGTGTGTTATAAATTACAAATTAAGGTAATTACCAGTCAAGTGACAGGGCTCCTCCATAATTATCCTTAAAATTGATTAGCCATTTATTAAAATGTCTATAATTTCCTAATCACAAGCAAACAGAAGATGTGGTATTAATCATCATTATAAGAGGGTTTGAATTGTTATGGGTTGAAGTTAAATAGCCAAAGAGAACTACCCCTGTCAAAGTCAATTTAAAGTTTAGAATAAATAAAGAGCCACTGAAGCAACTTGGGATAAACGAAACAATCCTGCTTTCCTGCCCAGATAAACACATAAAGTTAAATCAGCTCTTGTCCTCTGGAGTTTGTGTTTCTTCTGACAATGGGAAAGCAAAGCTCAGATGTTCTGCTGAGGAACCTGCGTCCATCCCTGGGGGCCAGGACCCAACTGAGCCAGAGCAAAGATGCTCCAGGTCCTGCAGGGAGGGAGATCCTTCATTTCTCAGAATTCTTCCCCAGGTAACCTTCAAAGGACTTCCTGGAACGGGCTGAGATAAATCCTCTTGCATAAGTGAATTTACACATCTGTGAGAGGCTGGCAGGTGCAGAGCTGATAAAAGGAAATTTACTTTAACACCGCATATGTTCAAATGTGGAACTTTTGCCTCAAGAAGTGGAGGAAGCCGAGGTTTGAAAATCAAATTCTTTAGGAGGAAGCCAAGGTTTGAAAATCAAATTCTTTAGGATTGCAACCCAGTCAGAATCCTGATGTCCTTAAAATTCCTGCCAGCAAGTTTTGGGGGGATATTAATGGCTATAAAGTGATTTATGAGAGATCAGGAGGAGCTCTAGAGAGGCCAGAGCTGCCAACCCATTTCCCTGCTGCTTTTTGGGGGTATCATTGGTACAGATTTTCATTCACCTGTTTTATTTATTGTTTTATTTTTTAGTGGGCCACTGGTGCTATCGGTCCCAGAAGTGTGAGCAGCCACAGTGTGAAGGTAGTGCCAAGCAATTTACTTTTCCAATCACATTGGTGATTTTTTTTGCTTTGCAAAGGGGCTGCTGAGAGAAATCATGCAAAAAATTCACAGCCCTCAGCCTTTAATGGCCCGTGGACACATTATTTGTGACCATGTCAGTGCCAAACAGGGTATTTTGAAGCTCGGTGTTTGTGGTAATTTCTCGTTTTGTGTAGACCAAGGATAATGTAGAAATGTACAAATAAATGTGAATATGTAAATACACGAATGTAAAAATCAAGTACACAAATGTAAAAATCAAATATCCAAATGTAGAAGTCAAATCCTACAAATGTAAAAATTAAATATACAAATGTAAAAATCAAATACTACACAAATGTAAAAATCACCCCAGGAGTTGGGGTGATGCCTCACATTTCAGCCGGGTGGTTTGGCTTTCTTAAGGCTTTGCTGTTTACAGGGAGCAAAATAAAGAGATTTTCTTCATCCCTGAACAGATCCCGCTCAGTGGCACAACATCAACGCGGCGTGCAGAGGGGACAGCCAGTCCCCTGTCAACATTGTCACCCGAAATGTGGTTTATGACAAGAGCCTCAAGCCCCTGGCTTTTGAAGGGTACGATGTCAAGGGCTCTGCCAAGTGGGACCTGGAGAACAACGGGCACACAGGCAAGTGGTGCCAGCCTGCTGCTGGGTTTTGGGCATCCCCTGGAGCCCAGCAGGGAGATCCCACCCCTCTGCCCCAGAAGGGAAACTCCCGGGACCCTTCTGGCGTCAATATTTTAATGGGAAGTTTGTGGGAATGGCCAAGTTTTGGGGTTGTGGATGTGGTTTTTTGGACATCTCAGCAGGAATTTCTGTGCAGAAACAGAGCTGGAGGTGCCACAGAACCCAACAGAGCCCAGGGCTGGGGGCAGGTGGGCAGGACAATAATTTGGGCAGAACTTTATCTTTTTCCTGCTGCAACCACTTTGTTCCTGGGCTGGTCCTTTCCAACTCTTGCCTCTGCACAAAGAATCCTGCTGGAGAAATTGTGCTGTGGGAAAGTCATTCTCTATTAGTTCTTTAAATAATGAGCTATGTTCTTCTCACATTCAGACCTGTTTTCTCTGCACACAGACGTTATCTGATGCTGATCAGCTACTTAGTGAATCAGTAAACCTTGAATCAATTAACAGTAATTTAGAACTGTTCCGCTTCCTCCACCTTCCTTCACAATACTGAGGATGCTGCTCCAAAAAAAATATTATGTTCAATTATTTCAACTTTAAAAATAAACCTGTAGTCTAATTTTTTTTTTTTTTAACTTATGTGTAGGTGTTTTTAAAATCTTGGATGGGTTGTTTTAACTGCCAAATCCTCAAAGCAGAAAGTAGCATGTGGCAAATATTTCCTGATTTAAAAGAGAAAGGTGGGAAGGCAGCTGGGTAGATTTTAACAGCTACAAATTCTAATTTCAAACATTGCTGTCGTGGCAGACCACAAGAAAAAGGAATGTTTTGACTTTTCACTAATATATGGATTAATGACTTTCCCATTACAGGATAATACTCCAGGATGTCCAATTACAGTCCCTTTGACATCAATATTAATATTTATAAGGGTTGCTCCTCATCTTCCCCAGCCATGCATAAGGATTAGGGGTTTAATCTGGGTTTTAAAAATCTCTTCCTTCTAAGGGCAACCAATTCCTGTGCTAAATGAGGAGGTCATTGCTTAAATTACAGTTGCAATTAGAGACTGCAGGTGAGATTAGACCCTCATTATGTTCCGTGATGGGCACATAGCAAAGGTCGCAGTCTCAACGGTTTTAAGCTAAATAAACAAAACCCACAAAGACGTCTGACTCATCCATTTACAGATTAAAAAGCAAAGGAACTAAATGACTCATGCACTCTCCAAGTTCATTTAGAATTCAGAACAGAAATGAAATCTCTGGGGCTGCAATCCAGAATTTTCCTCTGCAAAGAGAAGTGCTGAGCTTAACGTGGGGGTCGCAAAAAGCAAAATTTTAACATAGATCTCAAATATGTATGATTTAGGCTTAAATTGCAGCACTACTTTAAATTAAAACAGAATGTCTTTGAACCCTGCCCAAAGGAAATGTTACAGTGCAGACAACAGGAGATTAAAATAATGGTTAAAACCCAAATAAACTGGGATTCAATTTACTTTGATAGAGGTTTTTTTTAGGAAAAAAGTGAAGGAATATAGGGTCTTCTGAGAAGTTAAGAGGTCATAATGGTTAGAACTGATCTCAAATTAAACTCAGGCATGATTTTGTAGTTCAGTTTCTGCAGAGCAGAATTTCTGGAACACTCGGTCTGAAAAGCCAAGTTGAGAACTTGCAGATAAATTTGAATCTCAAGAACATCTCTGCTCTCACATGCTGTTAAGGTAGGACCTGCTCTTTTCCTTCAAAACAATTTATGCTTTTTTCCCCAGTTAAAGTGGCACTGGACACATCCCCTAAAGTCGGAGGAGGAGGCCTGGGGATAAAATACAAGGCAGTAGAATTCCATTTGCACTGGGGAGTCCCAGGTGAGCCACGAAACTTCCCTGGCTCAGAGCACAGCATAGATGGAGAGAAATACCCCATGGAGGTAGGTGGGACTGCGTGTGGAGCCCGGCTTTCACTGCACAACTCTGGAATTCTGCTCACAACATCTCTTGGCTAGTTCCCCATGGGAGGTCTGAGGGTGGAAATAATTGTCCTTGGCTGTTGTGTTCCAGCTTCATGTCGTCCACATAAGGGAAGATGCTTCGGATGTGACAGAAGCCAAGAAAAGCCCAGATGGTTTGGCTGTGTTGGCCTTCTTTATAAAGGTAGGCAGTGAAATTTGCAACTGCCCCTCTCAAACCTCAGCCAGCACTTTGGCTGAGGGATTGTGTCAATATTTTATGTTTATGTCAATATTGGTAGCCCAAGATTTAACCTCCCTATCTTCTGCAGGCATTCTGCCAGCACTGAGTTCCTCTACATTTTTCTACATCCTGCTTGCTGTTATTTTTTTCTTGTGGCCCTTTTCTGTTTTATTCACCACTGATTAAAAGCAACCACTTGTAGAGAAACACGCTACACGGAATGAAAATATTTCCTTTTCAGGCTGACGAAGAAAATAAAAACTATGAAACTCTACTGAGCGCATTAAAGGACATTAAATACAAAGGTAAGACACTCGTGCCAGGATTTTCACAAGCTGCGTGGGGTGAGGATAAATTTGGGTAAAGCCTGCAGCCACAAGCATTACAAGGGATTTTCCCCTGTGCTTTCTCCAGGGGATAAAGTAAAGGTGGAACCTTTGCCACTGAGCTCTCTCCTCCCACCTGAGGAAGACCTTGGGAGGTACTACCGCTACCAGGGGTCCCTCACCAGCCCTGACTGCCACCAGGGCGTCATCTGGACGGTCTTTGAGAAGCCGGTGGAGCTCAGCGTGCTGCAGGTGAGTGGCAGAGGAGCAGCCTGGAGGCTCTGTGCCGTGTCCCAGGATGCCCACCCGCAGGGTGACACCTCAGCGCCCCGTTCCCCACACACCCCAAGGTGCTGCCGGCCGACTGACCCTGTGGAGTCATCCCTCAGAAAACGGCAGGAAAGGGTCAGGAAGGGGAAATGACGGCGTGAGGGGAAAGCCAAGAAACCCCCCCAAGCTCAGGGCTCCGTCAGCAGCACTTCCACTGCTGCCACCTGCTCACTGCCCGGCTCCACGGCTTTTCTCCCATTGCCAGGGCAGCAGAACACAGCAATTCCAACCCCAAACCTGGGGCCCATCAGCATCAGGCAGCCCATTTGTGGCGTGCAGGCAGGAAGAAGAGATGGAGCTATGAGTGCTTGGCAAACGCAGGCTGTGCTGGGAGCCTGGCCCGAGTTGCTGACGGTGCCCCAGCACAGCCCAGGGTGGCAGAGGGCAGCCAGGAGCCCGAGCAAGGACAGAATTCCTGCCTCGTGCTGCCCTGACGCGGCGGCCGGGGCCGGGCCCGGGCGGCAGGCCAGTCCTTGGGCTGCACGGAGCTTTTGGCTGCCTCGCTGAGGAGGTGCCCGTGGCTGCCAAGGCTGGAAGGAGCCACCACGCCGACCTCTGCAGCACCTCTGCCTCTCCTCCGAGGCGTGAGGCGCCCACGAAACCCTCGGGTGCGAGAGCCGAGCGAGGCGGCGCGGCAGCCGCGGCGTCCTGCGGCCAGCAGATTTAACTGCGTGTTGTGTTTTGCAGCTGTCCCGCTTCGCGGCCCTGCACTTTGACGGCAAGAACTCCACGCCCATGATGGAGAATTTCCGACCCGTGCAGCCCCTGAACGGGCGCGAGGTGCTGTGGTCGCGGGCCAGTGTCACCCTGCCCACGGCGCGGCTGCTGCTGGCCCTGCCTCTGGCCTGCACCCTCATTTCTCTGGCCCTCTGAGCCTTCCCCGCCTCATTCATCGTCCTGGGCCTTCACTTCTTGGTATTTTTGCTGTTCTTTGTCTCAGCCTCTCGTGAATTTTGTCCCAGTACAGCCTTGTCCTCCTCCAGACGTGAACCAAGGGCTTCCGTGCTGCTCTGGTGAAACCCAAAGCACCAGAACTCAAAGGAACCAGGAGATAAAGCAATGAAACCCAAAGCACCAGAACTCAAAGGAACCGGGAGATAAAGCAATGAAACCCAAAGCACCAGAACTCAAAGGAACCGGGA